TTTTTTTTAGAGAAATTAATACTTTTATTCAGCATTGATGCATTAAATTGATGAAAGGGATGAATAAATTGCTTTTTAAAAATATAATTAAAATAGAAAACAGTTATTTAAACGCTTAACTTTATTAAATTTACCATTGTCCCTGGCAACAAAAAATATCTTCAGCATGATACAAGATCATTCCGATGGGCTTTATTTTGCAATAATGACCCGCTGACTGCACAAAAATTGTAATTAAAATTTATGTTTTTTAATTGAATTTGGAGTGATTTTTTCTAAATCATAACATAGTTGAGCCAAACCTGTCTGTCACAGAACTGATGATAGTCTAAGACAGTGGTTCCCAAACTTTTTCCTCCGGGCCCCCCTTTTGTAGAGAAAAATATTTTCCCTGCTCCTCCTCCCCCCTCCCTTTTTTTCGCTGTCCTGAGACCCTCAGGGGACCACCAAGGAAGAGCCCAGAGTAAGTTAATTGCACATAAATCCACTTAGGTCATTTTTAAAATTTGACACCCTTCACAGATCCTTCTATTATTTAAAATAAAAGGAGTGGCTCATTTTTTTTACCATTATTGGGCACTCTATACACACACTGCAGACACAAAAGTTTAAAAAAAAACAAAGTAAATGTGAATTTTGTGGCATTAATGTGGCATGACAGATCACAGTTCAAACTGCAATTGCAATGTATCAATGTACGTTAAAATACTGCGCTGCAAGCTCATTCCGTCCATGATGTTTTAGAAAACAATCTTTTCGCAGTTTATTTAGTTCATTGCTTAAGGCAGTGGTTCCCAAACTTTTTCTGCCAGGCCCCCCTTTTGTAGAGATGTGAATGCTGAAAACAGTTGTGCTGCTTCATATTTTTTAGGAAACAATTTTTTCATGATTCTCTTATGAATATTGCACCCTCTCAGACATGACCTTGTTTGCAAAATTATATATATGATTTGAAATATTGTGATTAACATAGTACTACTTAACTAGCCTACTTGCCGTCTTAACTTGTTCGGCTTCATTACCCACCTTTGTACTGGTGAATCTGAGCGCGAGAAATGCCTAGTCATATTTTCTTGTCTTTTCACCACACTGGACGAGACAAAGTGAACATTGCAAATCCAATTGTCCTTTGTGTCAGAGCGCTGGAGTTCGTCAGAAATACAGTGGGGCATCAGTTTACTGTCATGGATTTGTCGTGTGCGTCGCCCTGCATGATAGAACATCACTGGGCTCTATTTGCTTTTGTCAGGTCACATCACGCTGCTCCGTCTGGTGTAGACACATTGTTTTGGTATTTGTGAATCTTAAGTATATTCATAATCTGAATTCAGAACCTGGCACTGGAAGAGAAATAGGATTTGTCATGGATAAGATCATGGATTTGTCATGTCGCGTCGCACCGCATCACTGATAGAACATCACTGGATTCTATTTGCTTTTGTCGCGTCGCTCGCGTCTGGTGTAGACACGTTGTTTTGGTATTGGTGAATCTTAAGTATATTCATTATCTGCTTTACGTTTACCTGGCACTGGCAGTATTTTCACAAACTTGTAACTTACATGCTTAGAGCAGAACCATACATCGTTCATTTATATTTCTACATGGCTCCCTGCAACTCTGATTCTTCAATCGCGCCATCTAGTGGTCGGTTATTGCTCTTTGTCATAGCTCCGGCGCGCCCCCCAGTTTGGAAACCACTGGTCTAAGAGATCCATTTCACTCATAACTCAGTTTTGACAAATGTGTCTAGGTAAAACACAGTTCTGTGCATATTAAATTTGTTTTTCTCTTTTGTAGGGCATCTGTAATGGCCGTGGTGTGTGTAAATGTGGTCGTTGTGAGTGTGAACACTCCGGACTTCCACTGAGCCCCACTTGTGAAGCAAACTTCCAGGTACAATTGTGATGGGTGTGTGTGTGTGTGTGTGTGTGTGTGTGTGTGTGTCCGTCTATCTGTATTCCTTTACTTTGCATGTTAATTGGTTCTGTCCTGAAACCAACTGTCTCTCATAATGCAGCAACAATTGGGTATGTGTGAAGCCAAGAGGAGCTGCGTTCAGTGCCAGGCCTGGAACACAGGAGAGAGAAAAGGACGGAAATGTGATGAGTGTCCCTTTAAAATCATCAGGGTGGAAGAGCTTGAAGACCGTAGGGCATCAGATCTTAGTTTTATTTTAAAAGACATAGCTATACTCATAGATTTGTTTATGAATGGATGAAACAATGTTGGATTGATTTTATTGTGTCCACAGATAAAAACGTAATAGAGACATGCAGTTTCCGTGACGAAGATGACGACTGCACATATCACTACACTGTGAATTATCCATTAAACATCACAGACAAAGAACACCACGTCCTAGTAAAGAAAAAGAAAGGTGAGATATACACAAATATTAATTGTACTTTTTACATGATAAAAAAGTTAAATGATTTATACAACCTTTGGGTGGACCTATAAGTTAATTTAAAACTGAATTCTCATATACATATATATTATTTCATATGAAGTAAAATTGAGCACTGTTTAATTGTCCTATTGTAGTTATGGGTCTACTATTTAGGCTGTATTTCTAGCTCTTGAACAAGAGTGTGGTGAGTAATACATGTCAGTGTTAAACTAACTGATTGTTTCTCTGTGTATCAGACTGTCCACCTGCAGGTTTCCTGTGGTTGATTCCTCTCATTATGTTTCTGATGCTATTGCTTGGTTTGCTTTTGCTCTGCTGCTGGAAATACTGCGCCTGCTGCCAGGTAGATATACACATATATACACATCTTAATATTGATTTTTATTTTATTTTATTTTATTTTACTTTACAAATCAGCATGTCCCCACAAGTCCTGAAATGGAAGTTTAGTAAAATTTTGTAAACTATAACTAAGAAAAGAGAAGAGAAAAAAGGAAAAGGGAAAAAAACACCCAAAGACAATTTAATACACAAACACCTTCCCATAACCAGGCGCAACATGAGTTTCCAGTGTCAAGTTATTTTAAGTTGTCAGTGAAACTGAAAATACTGCTCACAAAGAACAAAAATACAGCCAATCAGAACATGTTTGATGTGTATTATACAGCTAAGTGGAGCAGGACTGTCAATTATTGAGATTTTACTGGAGGTGATGATAAATGATTAAAAAAACAATAAGATGTCTTGTTGCTTGTCTTGTTTGCTATATCCATATCAAATATGTTCTAATTGGCTTTGATTCTGTTGCGTTGGACAGCGTTTTTCACTTTCTTTGAAACCACAAGTTACTTGCTGCTAAAAACTTGTGTTCAACTGGTTAGGATGTGGTGTAGTAATGTTAAATCTCAGCTGATTAACATTTGCTGTCTGTCCCCAACAGGCATGTCTTGCTCTTCTCCCATGCTGTGGCAGAGGTAATCATTTTTCTCTCTGTTACACTTCAGTTACATTATACAGAGATCAGTGGGAACAGATTTACTGTATTGTTTTTAATGTGTTTGTGATTGGCAGGTCGTATGGTGGGATTCAAAGAAGACCACTACATGCTACGTCAGTCTTTGTCGACCACTGATCATTTGGACACCCCAATGGTGCGCACCGGCCCACCCAAGAGCACAGACATTGTGCGCTGGAAAGTGACAGACAATGTTCATCGAGGACCAAACCACCCACAGAACCAAATCAAACCCAACCCCAAAGAGACCAGTGAGTCTAGACTTACATTCAGCTAGTTATCTAGTCATCTAGTGTGACCAGAGTCCAATGTTAAAGTAATAGTTTACCCCAAAATCTAAGTTCTTGTCTTCCAAACCTGTGTGACTTTCTTTCTATTGTGGAACACATAAAAAAAGATGTTTTGAAAACTAACTGTACAATGACAGTTAATGGGGTCCAAAACAACAATGGACCCCACTGACTTTCATTGTATGGGCAAACATTTTCAAAATATAATTTTTTTTTTGTGCTCCACAGATAAAAAAGAAAGTCATACAGGTTTGGAATGACATGAGTAAATGTATTAAAATTTTTTAACATAAAAAAAGATGTTTTGAAAAAATTTTCTGTACAATGACAGTTAATGGGGTCCAAAACAACAATGGACCCCACTGACTTTCATTGTATGGGCAAACATTTTCAAAATATAATTTTTTTTTTGTGCTCCACAGATAAAAAAGAAAGTCATACAGGTTTGGAATGACATGAGTAAATGTATTAAAATTTTTTAAAAGAATTAAAATTTTTGGATGAACTATCTCTTTAAAATTGTCATGCTTGTTTAACTTGTATTTATATTCTTTAATCCCTCTGTATTTTTCTTCATAGTCCAGTACCCTATCTCTCTTCGTCTGAACCGGCAATATTCAGAAACTCTATCCAAAGAGTCTCGGGACACAGACGTGCTCAGGCGAGAAGTAGAGGACAACGTAAGTGCCCCCCCACCACCAAAAAAAAGAAACAACTTCTTGCACATGAACCATCATGCCTGACTGCTAATGTCTCTTTGTTTTTAATAAACAGCTCAATGACGTGTTCCTGCAGATCCCTGGCGCACAGAGAGTGCAAAATACTCTGTTCAGGTGTGAAGTAGCTCTCAATGACTAATTAAAATTGGCGTGGCTGTGCCTTGTGGGCAGTTTTTTCTAAAGTTGGATGAGGCTCAGATTTTGACATGTGTCTGAATGTACTGTTATTCTTTTTATTTTCCCTCAGGACACAAAGAAATTCTGGAAAGAGGTACTGTAGCTACAGCTGAGCTAGCATTGACAAAATACTGTATGTCGCATTAAGTCTGAGATTATTGATTAGGATAAATCTCACAAAACATTTTATTATTAGAATATTAAAATGATTTCTGAAGGATCATGTGACACTGAAGACTGGAGTAATGGCTGCTGAAAATGCATCTTGCCATCACAGGAATAAATTTAATTATATTAAAATGCTTTTATTTTAAATCGTAATTAAAATATGAACTGGATATTTCTTTGTTAGATTTACTGATTTGTATAGGGACTACAAATCTGAAAACTTGAAGAGAAACAATAATAATTCTCATTTGCATCCACAGACAGAACAACACGATTGTAGACACGGTTTTATCTGCCCCTCGTGCCAGTTACCCAGATATAGTGAAACTGACAGATAAACAGGTTCAGGCTGGAAACTTCCGGGACCTGAAAGTGGTTCCAGGCTACTACACCGTAGCTACTGACAGAGGTACGGACACCCTGCACAACCCACAGACCTTTAACAACACGCTTACTCCAAAATACCTGCTGCATTAGTTTGCAGTCTGTTGTAACGCTTTGGGTTTGTTATGTGAATTTAATGTTTATGTGTCCATGTCCTTGTCTGTCTTGTAGAAGCGGCAGGTGCTGTGGAGTTTCAGGAGGGCGTGGAGTCAGTGGATGTCCGGGTTCCCCTCTTTATGAAAGATGAGGATGATGAAAAGAAGGAGCTGCTTGTTCAAGCTGTTGATGTTCCAGTTGGAATTGCGAAGATCGGCAAAGATCATGTCAACATCACTGTGATTAAGGAACATGGTAAGAAGTTTTAATGATGTTTTATTATCAAAGTTCGGGAGGGGCATGTTTAGATAGTCAACCAATTAGCAGGATAGTAAGTATATATTCAGCCTACTTACCTTTGTCCCACAACAGTTTTCTGGAATCCCTCCTCCATCCCAACTCCTTACTCCTAACTATTCCTATCCCAGCTTGGGAAATGGGGGGAGGTCTCTGGGTTCAGGCTAAATTCCGAACTCGGAGCCCTCCCCTCGGCCAGCATGCCAAATATGCATACTATTTGCTCAATCTGATTATATGTGAGTGCAAACTCATGAAATAATAAAAGAAAAATCTGACAAAACATGTTTATAGAGAATGTGTTTTATTACCCCATTTTTTTCAGCCAAATTTAGTGAGGATTTATCTTAAAACGAGTATTTTTGATATTAAAATATTTTTAAAGTGGATATTAAGTGGCAAAATCTTTGATTGTGTTTATTTATTCTCACACAGCTAGGAACATCTTTACCTTCCTGCAGCCGTCATACACCTACAGTCGTCAGGATGGCGTGGCAAACATCCCGATCAGTCGTGAGATCATAGAGGATGGATGGACACAGGTCACATATTGCACCCGTGACCTCACTGCCAAAGACAAGAAGGTAAAATACACTTAGTACACTCGACAACTTGGGTTTCACCACAAGTTCTGTATTTCTATATTTAAATTTGATTAAATTGAGTTGATTTTCTCTAATAAAATGAGACTACAACAATTTCCAAATAAGTGATATGGATATGTCTTTGTTTGAAAAAAGTCATGAAGTCATTCTCATTTGTTTGATTGTGCGTTAATGTTTCCCTTCTCTTCATAGGACTATATCTCAGTTGATGGAGACTTGAGTTATGGACCAGGGGAAACACAGAAGACAGTCCCAGTGAAACTCTTGGAGCTTGGGGAGGGAGATGGACTGCTAGAGGACAAACAAGTCAAACAGTTTGTGATGGATCTGAGCAACCCACGGCAAGGTGCTAAACTGGGCCGCTACCCACGCACCACTATCACCATCGCAGATAAACCAGGTATATATCAGGCTAACAGATTTAAAAGTATAATTTGTTGTAATTCTTTAACCTAAATTTTAATTGTCTTATATGTCCTCACAGAACCCAGTGTTTTGATGTTTAAGAAGAGTACTCAAACTTACAATACAACTGACCCGCTCTACTCCATCCCTGTGGTACGCACTCGAAACCAGGAGGGTCCGACCACTGTGTACTGGCGCACAAACAAAGCCTCACGCTTCGACCTCTCCAGTCCTCTCAAATTTGTTCCTGGCGAGACGGAAAAGAACATCGTCATTGATCCTCGTTTGTATCCATCTCCCATTATACCTGAGACCTTCCAACTGGAACTATTCGACCCAAGCAACAATGCAATCATTGGAGAGAAGAAAACTACGCTGGTGAACGTCATCGATGGTAGAGGTGAGAAAACGGCGTTTAGAGTCAGTTTTGGAGTCCATGTTTGTAACCAACTGTAAAGGCAAAAATATTCATTGTTTTTTTTTTTTTACTTTAGTTCATGTTTCATGAGAAAACCCCAAACCCTCCTGTAATCTGCAGATGTTGAGTGTTACTTAATATTTGCATTATTTCATATCAGGGGATGGGAAAATGGATTTCCAGAAAATGGAATATGTGAATCAGTCAGTCACATCTCCTGGAGGACGGCTCTATGCCCCAAACAACATCAAAGCTGTTGCTTCTGGCCCTAAAAACATCCGCCTGAACTGGAACCCCAGTGCAAATGCCAGTGGTTACAAGGTAGGTCGCGTAACATGATATCTGATATAACACGTTACAAAATTGCATCCGTTTAGTGTGTATAGTCTGTTTTGTTTTTGTTTTTTTTACCTCTGTAAAGTTTAGTAAATAAACTTTTAAAAAACTACTCATAAACGAAGACGTCCAGTCAAGCCAAAGCGATTATTCAAAACATCTGCCTCTGACCACTAATCCTGTTAACTGATTTTAAAATGTATAAAAGCTTCAATATTTACACAGCGTTAACCAATATTGAGATGGTGTTTACTTAAATTTGTAGTTGCAAAAGCCAGGAATGTGACAGGAGAAACTTTCAGCTTTATAAGTCACAGAGTGACTTTATTCATAGATTAATAGCGTATGAAATGAGTTTAATTGTGCTGTTTTTAATTGTGCTATTTTAGACACATTGAATACAATATATAAAACATTGATTCATATGCAGTATAAATACTGTATATATGAATTAAATTATTAAATTAATGATTTTTAAACATTTTTGAAGTCTCTTAGGCCCACCAAGGCTCATTTATTTGATCAAAAATACAGTAAAAACTGTAATATTGTGAAATATTATTACAACTGTTTTCTGGTTTAATACATTTTAAAATGTAATGTATTCCTGTGGTGGCAAAGCTGGATTTTCAGCAGCCTTCAGTTTTACATGATCCTTCAGAAATCATTCTAATATGCTGATCTGCTGCAAAGAATCTCTCTTATTATTATCAATCTCAAAAACAGTTGTGCTGCTTAATATTTTTGTGGAAACTGTGATGCAGTTTTTTCCAGGATCCTTTGATGAATAGAAAAGTCAAAAGAACAGCATTTATTTGAAATAGAAATCGTTTGTAGCATACACGTCTTTACTGTCACTTATGATCAGTTTAATGTGTCCTTGCTGAATTATAATCATTCTTAAAAAAATTCTAAAACAAAAAAAACCTGACCCCAAACTTTTGAGCAGTAGTGTTTTTGAAACATACAGGCTAGTAGGAGATTATTCACTGTGGGTTGTGACATGTTAGCATATATCTCATGCTATTTTTTAGTCCCAGTCCATTTCTGCTTGTAAAGTTTTAGTTGCAGTATTTCAATGAAATTAATATTTCAATAAACACTAGCTTAGCTAAAAAGGCTGTTGAAAATGCTGTTAAACTTGTCCTTTGAGCTGTGATTTGCTGTTTCCAGGTGAAGTACTGGATTTATGGAAACCCTGAGGCTGATGCTCAGGTGCTGGATGTGAAGACTCCTCAAGCCGAGCTGACTAATCTCTACCCATACTGCGACTATGAGATGCGCGTATGTGGCTACAATGCACTCGGAGAGGGCAATTACAGCGATATCATTCAATGCCAGACTCTAGAGGATGGTAAGTCAATCTCTGGACTTTTTAAATTTTATGGTCTTTTTAAGAAGCATGCATGTCATACTTTTCATACTTGGCTTTTTCTGGCATACCAATTGATGCTTTTTGAAGTTTCTGTCTCACAAACATGGCCATCTGCATTATTTTACCCCTCTAGTACCTGGTGAACCTGGTCGCCTGGCTTTCAATGTCATCAGCCCCACTGTCACTCAGGTCAGCTGGGCAGAGCCAGCAGAGACGAATGGTGTCATTACTTCATATGAAGTTATCTACACACCCATCAACGAGAACAAGAGTAGGAGTCTTAAAATACTTTTTATAGCATCTGTTTGTCAATATTGTAACAATTAGTGCTCAGCTGACTGCACATATTTCTTTCTCTGTTCAGAGCCTATAGGACCTTCTAAGAAGGTAATGATTGACAACCCCAAAAAGCGCATGCTGCTCATCGAGAACCTGCAGCCTTCTCAGACCTACTGTTACAAAGTGCGTGCTCGCAATAAGGTGGGCTGGGGCCCGTACAGAGATGCCACAATCAACCTGGCTACACAACCTACCAGACCCATGTCAAGTAAGTGTCTCACAAAAATGGGGTGGAATCGAACTCAAGTTTGGACTGAGCAATTGTTCAATAAACAATCGTACAGACTGTGAATTGATTGTGTTGTTTGTTCTGGTTTATATCACTCCTATAGTTCCCATCATTCCCGATATTCCCATTGTGGATGCAGAAGCTGGAGATGAATATGACAGCTATCTGATGTACAGTAATGAAGTACTACGATCCCCAACGGGTAGCCAGAGGCCTAGTGTCACAGATCTGACTGAAGGTGGGTATCTTGTGATGTGGTGCACTGTTGCAACACATTGGAATCAATGTACACAACCACCGTTCAAAAGTTTGGGGTCAGTAAGAAAGAAATTAATATTTTAATTAAGCAAGGATCCATTAAATTGGTCAAAAGTGACAGACTTCTATAATATTACAAAAATTTCAAATGAATGCTGTTCTTCTGAACATCCCTTTGATCCAACAATCCTGAAAAAAAGTGTATCACAGTTTTCACAAAAATATTAAGCAGCACAACTGTTTTCAACACTGATATTAATAAGACCGAATCAGTATCTTAGAATGAATTCTGAAGGATCATGTTACACTGAAGACTGTAGTAATGATGCTGAAAATTCAGCTTTGGATTACAGGAATAATTACATTTTTAAGTATATCAAAATGAAAAACAGTTATTTTAAATAATATTTCATAATTTTACTGTTTTACTGTATTTTTGATCAAATAAATGTAGCCTTGTTAAGCATAAGAGACTTTATTCAAAAACATAAAAATCTTGCCAGCCCCTAATTTGACCAGTAGTGTGTTTGCTGCATATCCTTGCTGAAAAGACCAGGATAAATTTCAACCAGAATGGGTAAACTGGTTTGCCATGCAGTTCTTGGAAAAAGGGACACCAGCACACTAGCATCCTGACAATGGTGGTCTTTTCATCAGGGATAGTAGGGAACTAAAACAAGTTTTTCGAAACATGTCAATGCTTGACTGTGTTGCATGCCTGAACATGTAAGTGGAATTGTTTCAAGAATTCGAAAGCTTTTTTGTGCTATGTTGACCTGTAGAAACTACTGGTCAATAGCAGTCAGACATAGTCATGGTCTGCCTTCATCTGCAGTGTAACAGGATGATGTCCTTACATCATTCGTATGCAGTTCCTGTTGAAATCGAAAGGCTCTTTCTAGTCCCCTGTGCATCCATTGAAGACCCCGCAATCACTTGCCTTTGCCATGGAACAATGTCTTTTTCTTTCCTTAGGGCTTTGTAAAACTGGGTGACTGGGCTCTTTATGGAAGTTGAACACATTGTTTGTGCAGCGTTCAGGGAATGTTGCAGCTGTAAAGTTTGGGCTTCTTTGGCTCATATTTGGCAAGAATGATCAAACTGTTGACTTGGCCTTGCTAAATGTTGGTAGCATCGTGGATGGGCTCAGAAGATATCAGCTTCCCACTTTTTCTTCTTTCCTTCTTTGCCTAACTCAAGTTATTAAAGGAACAGTTCACCCAAATATGAAAATTCTGTCATCATTTACTCCCTCAGGTTGTTGCATACTGTATGACTTTCTTACTTCCATGGAGCACAGAAGGAGATGCAGATCTTTTCCATAAAATCACAGTGAATGGACGGATGCTTCAAAAATATTATAAAACTACCATAATTATGGTCCATATTGCTTGCACACTATTTTCCAAGTCTGTTGAAGCTATATGATAGTTTTGTGTGAGAAACAGACCAAAATACAAGTTGATATTTGCTGAACATGGCTTCAGAAGACTTGAAATATACATTGACCAAATACACTTGCAATTACATTTCACACAAAAAAAAAAAAAATCATATGAACTACTTTTATGGTAGTTTTATGATGTTTTTAAGCTTTGTAGCCACATTCACTTTTATTATATAAAAAACACAGCCTCAACATTTTGCCTAACATCTGCTTTTGTATTCAAGAAAGTCATACGGGTTTGCAGCGACATCAGGGTTAGTAGTTAATAACAGAATTCTCATTTTTCTGTGAATTAAGTTGAGCATGGACAGCACACACATCCTCTGTGCCTTGCTTGCTTCCCCACATGATTACGGAAGGCTCACGCTGGAAGCATGTCCAGCTAGTTGGTTCGGACCTGGATCTCCGTAAGGTGTCCTGGAAACTGCCTGCTGACATCATCCCCTGCCACCTGAGCCCGGCCACAGATGCCAGCGATAGTCATGCACAGACCCTGCCACAAGGTGAAGACCTGTCCCTGGCAGACAGCATGCCATCCACACCCAACGTCAACCCAAAGCTGTGCTAGCAAAGTCACTTGAGTGCTAATTGGCATCAAGAGTATCAGAGTGCTAATTGGCATCTTTAAGTAGACTGCTAAGTCCATTGCTACCACAAAAATAGCGTTTCTTCGTCTGAATTAAGAGGCTTTCTTCAGTTTGGGTCTGTTGAGGTGATTCCTTCTGGGCCACAGTTCAAAGCCCTATTCTGGAGCGCTGACTTCAGCTGTGAATTCAGTTGTGCTAACATTGCTGTGCTAATTCATGCTATCGTCTTTTCTCTCATATGTTTACAGATCAGTTTGTAAATGGAAAGTGGGACCAGAATTTCCTGTTCCCAGGAGGAAGCGGTTCCCTTTCCCGCAACGTCAGTTCCTCCTCATCCACGTACAGCCATTCCACACCCCGTGCCGGTGTGACCAATAACAGCAGCACCACAACGTACATTTCCGGCAAAGGTATCAGAGGAAACAATAGTTGACTTAAAAATGTTGTCATGATTTAGTCATCCTCATTTCATTCCAAACCTGTATTATTTTGTTTCTTCTGCGGAACACAACACATAATGCCTTACTATATAATGTACCTAGAATGATCAATGGCTGTCAAGCTCCAAATACGCCATAAAACATGAAAGTAGTCTATGTGCACTATATATTGTGTGCTATATTCCAAGTCTTCTTTTTTTTTTTCAAAAGAAATAAATACTTTTGTTCAGCAAGGATGCATTCAATTGATCAAAACCTGTTTTAATTTTGCTAGTAACACAAAAAGCACCAGCATATTAGAATGATTTCGGAAGGATCATGACACTGAAGACTGGAGTAATGAATCACAGGAATAAATTAGATTTTAAAATATATTAAAAAAGAAAACAATTGTTTTAAATGTAATAAAATTTCACAGTATTAGTGTTTATTTTCTGTATTACCAAATAAAAGATACCTGGTCATCAGAGACGTCTTTAAAAAATATACATTTTTTTAAATCTTACAGATTTAAGTGTTAAAGTCTTAAGTGTTGTTCACACAAAGCAATTGTATGGCTTCAGAAGACTTGGATAATGTTACCATTTGGACCACTTTTATGATAGTTTAATAGCACTTATTTGCCTTTCAATTTGTATTTTCTTTCTGGTCTGGTCTTTATTTTGGAAAAGAGCAGCATGAACATTATTCAGAACATTTGTTTTTGTGTTCCATTAAAGTAAGACAGTCATATTCATTTGGAATGACATGAGGGTGAGTAAATGATGACAGAATTTTCATTTGAGGGTTTATGAATCATTCTTTGATTTGGTACTTATGCTTTAAAAACAAAATTGTTGAATAAATTGTCTCCATAGCTCAGTAACCAATCGTTGTTTTTTGTCACAATCAGGAGGCTCAACGACACACGGATATGATCTTAGGGATGGCGGACTTCTCAAAGAGGAAGTGATTCTGAGGAAGCGTTCTGAGAACAGGCATTACACAGACGGTGATGGAGTGAGGGATTCTATCGTCATGGGAAACCTGTCTGGTGGATTTTTGGACAACTTGGGTAAATTGAGCTTGAAAGATTTCTGTGCACAAAGCCAATCAAATTTGATTATAATGCTTCGCAAGGTGCAGCTTTTGGCAAGAATCCTTAGCTGACTCTCGCTTCAATCCTACTCTTCTTTTTCCCCCCCTTATGCCATTTGTGTTCTCTCTACACATTTTTTCTCTCGCTGTTTTCTCGTCATGCGACGGCTGCCTGCCAACCCTTTCCTGCCACACCCTGCCGTATCCCACCTTGCCGTGGCTTGGCTGGCTCTCAGGGGTCTCTAACTTCAGCCAGAGTACAACTACCAGCTACAGCTTGAGCTCCAGAGCTCGTACTCAGTCTGAAGATATCAACGATGCACTGCAGAACCTGGATAGTGTTCTTCAGGGTGAGTGAACCCGGAAACAACTAGCAGTGCATCAGGAGAGGGTACTTTGAAACCGTAACTTCCTAAGGCCCCTTTCACACAGAGATTCGGAAAATACATGGATAATGTGTTCCGTGATTTGTCCCGCGATCGTTTGATTTTGGTTCATTCACACTGCCAGTGATTTTCCGGGATCCCGTAAAGATCGCGTAAAGACACTTGACATTACGATGTGAAGTGTAATGTGATGCGTACCGCTTCACTAATCTGGCGAACGATCTCAGCTTCAGCGCGGATAGTGAGGAGCTCCCTGATCTCTGCTTTATACCAGTTTGCACAAATTTCTTCGTCGTGAATGTTGATCTGCCTTCAAAGCACCCGGTAAAAGAGTCGCACGATAACAAGCATCATCACTATGACACCCTTTACGGCATTGGTTCTGGATTTTGTTCACACAGGGCTCGTTCCGGGACTGATCCCGGCAATGTTACTAGGTCCCCAACCCGGGATCGATCCCGGAATCAATCCCGGGACGTGTTTGTGTTCACACAGAAGGCACTCTGGCAATTTTTTCGGGCAAGAATCCTTAGCTGACTCTCGCTTCAATCCTACTCTTCAATCCTAATCCTTTCACACGTGCAGTGTGAAAGGGGTTTAAGAGACAAGCGTTTCATAATGTAAAGTAGTTAAACTAAATGCAAATCTTTTAGTAGGTGTAAAATAAATAATGAATATATATATATATATATATATATATATATATATAATGTCATTTATTTTTTACAGTAAGAGCAATATTTATTTAGGCACAAAACATATCAGACAGCATTGAACTTATTTATTAATTATAATTATATTAAACAGATGCAATAAATATTCATTTACAATAAATGCAACTAATAGAACACCATTTATTTAAAATATACATTTATAAAAGACAAAATGCAGTGCAGGGGACCAAATGAATTAATGAATCTTTTTTTTTTTTTTTTAGAACCGGTTCATTTATTTGTCTGTCTGAATAAACAGATTCATGAAAATTATAATTTTTTTAATCTTGCATTTTAGGAGAGCACATTTCATTATTTTATTAGTTCACTTTGTGAGAACAAAATATGATGACATAAAAAAAGTTTATGCTAAACAGTTGTGAGAATTAGCTTGTTACTGGAAAAGAATCTGTTTAAACTATTTTAAAAGCAGCTGAGCTACTGTCATACTACTGGAAAATGTAGTTAAGTTGGAAGCATCTCTTCTTTTACTTACAGACTGACATATTTCAGCCTATTCCCTGCTGTTTCCCCAATGCTGAACCAATAAAATTGTGGCTACAAAATTAAATATGTCTGTACTGTGGTTTGACATTTTACTGTCTGCACTGCTCGTGCCCTCAGACTCTCGCATCAACCCGGGTGTTCCTGAGACTCCCAGCAGACTGGTGTTCTCTGCCCTGGGGCCCACGGCCCTGAAAGTGAGCTGGCAGGAGCCCCACTGTGAGACCGATGTACTGGGGTACTGCGTCCTTTACCAGCTTCTCAGTGGAGGTGATCCATCTCTTCTCAATCGTAGTTATCATACTTATTCATTCTAAATATATAAAGGTATATTCAGAGATATACTATATTTTATCAATTCATATATTTTTAATTGTCATACACTTCATTCACATTTTTTTTATAATATATTCAATTATTATATACTGTAATTATTTATCAATATGCATTAGTTTATGTCTGTATACTGTATACAGTATATATACTTATAAACAATTATTACATACTATAATTTATCAATTTACTTCCATATACTTTATATATCTATTTGACGTCTGTCTATTTTTTCATTGTCTTGTATTGTGTTCTTCTCATAGGTGAGGTAAAGCGTATCGAGGTGAACAATCCCGCTCAGAACTCTGTGGTGGTTCAGGATCTTCTGCCCAACCATTCCTACATCTTCAAAGTGAAGGCCCAGAGTCAAGAGGGCTGGAGTCCTGAGAGAGAGGGAGTCATCACCATTGAGTCTGCTGTCGACCCCAAGAGTCCACTGAGCCCAATGCCAGGTGGAGCGCCTTCATACTTTAATTCTTATGGTACCAATAGGGGGCACAGTAGCTATTACCAGCAATAGCAGTGGCATTATCCTGAAGTATTAATATTAAAACATTATTGTGTGTATTTTACTATTTACTAAAACATGTATGTATGTGTGGGTGTGTGCTGTCTTTCAGGATCTCCATTCACACTCAGCACTCCCAGCGCTCCAGGACCTTTGATCTTCACAGCTTTGAGTCCAGACACACTGCAGCTGAGCTGGGAGAAACCCCGCAAACCCAATGGGGACATCCTGGGCTATGTGGTTACCTGTGAACAGCTGCACGGTGGAGGTCAGCTACCAACCTCTTTATTTTCTATTTGGCATATTTTTTATTTGACAGTTGACATATCTGAACTTTGAATCCATATGAATGTCCAGAGTAGTCACAAATGTAATAATCAAAAACAAATCCTGTTCTTTAAGTCCGGGACACACCAAGCCGACTTCAAAGAACTAGCGGCGATGAAATCCGACAGTGTTGTTGCTTCGTGTCGGCGATGTCTGGACCAAAAAGCTGCGCTTGAACACACCGCTCAGACTACAGCCGACTGCAAACTAACACGTGCGTTCTGCGCCTGCGTGAGAGGAATTAACTGTCTATAGCAGCAGCTATCAATAGTATATATTCGTCATTTAAAAGGAGAAACTGGAACAAGGATATACGAGATATACACAGTTATACGAAACGAAAAACAAAGCAACACTTGCTTACCATTTTGAATACGTTATGTTGATAACTTTCTTCATTTTAAGCGCTCATGTTGTTATGAAAATATTCGCATATTGGAATCCCTTACAGAGACATCGCTCTCTCAGGTCTGAAGGCCTGATCATCATCTCGCGCACCATCTCCACCGTCCCAAACACTGGGTAAAGATCACGTAACATTAGAACAGCCTTCTGTTAGCGCTGCCTCGTTTTCATCACTTTCGCTTTAATTCTCAGTCACTGACTCATTCGGTAAACTGAGCATCCAATCAGAGTTCTCACTCTCACTGATGGCCCCGACGCCGATTCAGCATGTTGAATCATGCAAACATCAAGAGCCGACATGTGGAACACACCAAAAAAAAACTATCCAGACAGACGCTTGCCGACGGTCATCCATCGGCTTGGTGTATCCCGGCCTTTAAGTTCCCTGTTAAAACTCTGTGTTTGGTGTCCTTGCAGGAGATCTTCGCTCCTTCCAGGTGAATGGCAATGCTGCAACTTCTTTGACTGTGTCTGACCTGAAAGAAAACATGCCGTACAAATTCAAAGTTCAAGCCCAGACCACACAGGGCTTTGGACCGGAGCGAGAGGGCATCATCACCATCGAATCCCAAGATGGAGGTATGCGAGGATTTACAACAGTGGCACAGAGAGAGTGATATGACAGCGTTAATGCTTTAGGCCTTATTAAGATATATATTTTCACAGTTAAATGTTTAGTGTTTCAATAATATCATAGCCTACTTTTTATCATGCAGTCAGATCACAACCGATGAAATCAAGTCTTGCCCTGTATTATTTCCTGTTGAATATTGTTTTGTTTTTCTTAGGAAAATCACTGTTTTATGTTGTCTTTGAGGAAAATCACTGATGATCAATTTTCTGTTGGAACTTTTTTTTTTTTATAATCTTTTTCTTTTCTCGTCCTCCTCAGGCTCCATGTCACAGTACAACAGTCATTCAGTCACAAAGAGAGAGGTGTTCAACCTACCAACAGAGATTACTTCACACACCATGTTCTCAGAACCTTTCGTGTCTCCAGGTACCAACACACACTATATCTTCCAGGGCTGGGCAAAATTCACAGTTGAAGAATTTGTTCCATTTCTATGAATGAGTTAGAATTTCAGTTAAACTGGCCCCACATGATGTTTTAACCCACAAAAAATAATTAAATAATTCATTTTGACTAAAAATGCTTATTTTGTAATATGTAAAAAAAAATTCTCAAATGAATTTTTTTCTAATTTTTTCTAATGAACAAATGAACAGTCATCAAAAGAAACAACAAAATATTGAAATTAACAGTTTCACTACAATTTGTATTAAATGTAATTAAAAATTTGTTATTTTATAATATTTAATATAAATTTACAAAACAATTCATTTTGGTTTATTAGGCTTATGTTGTGATATGTAAAATACATACATTCTTATCAAATAAAAAAAAATCTATAATTAAGTACAGCCATCAAAAGGTTTTAATTTTGCAATGCAATTTTCCACAAAATGTTCACCACATTGTCTTCAGAAAACAAAAATGTAAAATATTCAAATTATCACTTAAACCTGTTGATTTTTTATTTTTGTTTGAGTGTTTTATAGTAAAATAGACCACAGTGGAAATTTTTACTAATATCATTATAAAATATAACAAAAATAAATTAGTATTTTAAAATATGAAATAGAATTTATTAAATTAAATACAGATTTATCTTGGTGGTATATCAATCATCTAACTTTTCTGGAAATACCATATGTTGTCTGTATGATAAAGTTATACAAAAAGTTATTAAAAACTTAAAAGCAGTTGATGCTAATTCTGTTTCATTCCAATTATTATTTTTTTAAATTATTTAAATTCTAGATAAAATACTATATTGTTATATAAATATGTTTCTAACTTTCTAACTGTGTCTGATGTGTGTTTTTTCTAGAAGGTATGATGATGATGTCGAGCAGACAGATCACAGAGTCGGGCGGCACCATCACGCGGCAGGTGGAGATGGTGCAGAGAGGAGTGATGTCCAGCAGCACCGTCACTAAGAAGGTGGAGAGACAGTACTTTGAGGCCTAATCTAACTTCCTTTTGCCTTCAGCTGAAGTCACATGGCAGAGCAGCAGTATAAACATACGCTCTAGTCAAACTAGAAAAGTTCACAGACCAATGTGCAAAATATATGGTGTTTATGTGAGCATGAGAACAGCTGAGTTCTTGGATTCCTCGGATTATTGCTCATAAAGACCAAAGTCTTCAAGCCTTGATATTTTGATGAATGTAAAGACTTAAAACCTTTAGTGTTATCTTATCACTTCCAAAAAGGTATTTGTTAAAACTTTTGGCCATGTTTCATGTAGTGTTTGCGAGAAATGTTATGGATGTTTGTGGCATGGGATGCAGTTATGTTGCTCATTTGAGCTTAACTGCATTCATTTTGATGAGGTTTGAATTTGGCAGGTTTCATATCATGATGTTTATATTATTGATGTTGCTTTCAAATTTCAAGATGTATCAAGTTTTTTGAGCATGTAGGTTTTTTAAATGCATTTTCACATCAAATATGCCATGTCTCTTGATTTAGAGTGTATACTTCAACTCAGTATTTTTCCTCCTAAATCAATTTTTTTTTACTTGTTAAGGGTTGCATAAAATGTTGCAACACATGAGTGCATACATATGGACTCGGTTGTAAATATGTTACTGAGGTTTGTTTTTTTTATTGCCTGGTTGCAAGATGTGCTGTTGTAACTTCAGGCCTGTGGCTGTATTTCAGATGACATATAAAGTCTGCCAGGTTTGTACACTACTGGCAATATGGAAAAGATTACCAATCTGACACCTATGTAATTACATTTTTACTGCCTTCAATAATTTGTATGGTACTTTTGTCTTGGGAACAAATATATTTTTTTAGAGTTTTATATTAAAATTGCATTTCACCATCATATTCAAGCTGTAGTATGCAAAACGTCTCACTTCATATTAGTTCACCTTACCAATAAATCATCCTACCACAGTCGACCCTTCGTGTGTCAGCTTTGTTTATTAGAAACAGATTCAGGTGCAATCAGTTTTTTTTTAGCACACTGAAATGAGCTACTGAAATGCTTTTACATTGATTGGAGGAGAATGTACTGACACTGCCTTCTATATGCTTTCTTATGTTACTGACAAACAAACAAACATGGAGTTGAATGTGATTATATCCAACACTTGCTAAAACTGGGAAAATAGTGCATTCAGGTCAGCAAAACAATATTTCAGTTTTAGGCCTTGGATTTGGCTAATTATAATCTTATTTTATTTAAAAAACAATGGAAATTGACATATTATATGGGTAACGAAAAAAGAATCACAATTCAGTATGCAAATAATTTAGAAATATTACAATGACGTAATCGTTGTCGCTTTCATTTTGAATGCTTAACATTCTAGCAAATGTGAGTCAGTAAGAGACTTTCCAAGTTAAATTTCTTAAAAATAAAAAATAAAAACAAAAAATAAATTGTATACATAACGTCTGAATGGGAACGGTACATTAGGCTGAATTAATTGCAGAAAAAATTGTGACAAAAGCACTTAAGATATCTGCATTTTAACATGAAGATGAAGTCATGAACACATTCCCAACACTCATGCATAAGTATGAGCAAACAAGCCCTTAGAATTTTTAAGCATCTTTTTTTGGTAGCTGCACAAAGAAAAGCATAGCTGAAGTGTATGATTTTTTTCAATGTTAAAATCAATTCTATCCCAGATTAATATGTATAGACCACACCATTTGGAGGTCGATTTCTTCAAAAAAGTGAAAACACTGCATGCCAACTGGTCTCACACAGAAACAATTTGGGTTTCTGTCAAGGGAATCAGGGTCATGCTAACTTCAAAGTTGGTCTACAAAAATACGTCTTCTATCTGGGACTATCTGTTTGTCTGACCAATCGCAGACTGTTTAACAACAGTATTTTTTACAATTCCTTTGTGTTGCTAGTGGTGCAGAAAACACAGCTTTAGCTACTCTTAAAAAAAATTAAAATTCCTTCTATGCACTTCTATTTTTTGTAAGCATTGATCAATTACTGTATTTACTGTTTTATGGTGTTTGTAATTTCTTCATATCTATGTGTGTGAGGATTGTGCGATCATTATGTACATTAGCAGAACAGGCATTGTCCCTTACAGAGACATCGCTCCCTCAGGTCTGAAGGCCTGATCACCATCTCGCGCACCATCTCCACCGTCCCAAACACTGGGTAAAGCTTCTCTGTGAACCTCTCGCTGTATGTGTAGATGTGCGCACGCTTCTGGGTGTCATAGAAGGACAGCTGCCCCTCCTCATAGTCCAGATAGACCCCCACCCTCCGCGGGATGAGCGACTGGGGCAGGGGTGTGGGCGGTATGGTCAGGGCCTTGAGCTCGGAGCCCCGCTCCAGCCTGAGGGTGAGGTATCCGCTCTGAGTGTTGAGCGGTCTGTAGCCTTTGCAGAGAGCTGATTCTTTGGCCACCCCAAGACGCCAATCACGGTCGCCCACTTCTACCTCCCAGTACCGGCGTCCCGACGAGAAGCCCTCAGAGCCGAGACAGCACCACCAGCCATCAAAGCGCCGCAGGCTGCAGGGAACCTCACGCCGCTCCAGACCGCACTGCATGCGCTTGCAGTCCTCGGACAGAACCAGAGCAGGGTTGGCCGTCTCTGGGTCAAAAGTCACCTCCACTGTAAAACAGGGTAGCACTTACAGTTAGATTTAAGTCTTTAGGTGTATCACAGAAGATTTTCAAGAAATTGAACAGTGTATATATATATATATATATATATATATATATATA